GTGACATCGACGATGGCGATTAATCTGGCAGTTTTGGTCTGATCAGAATGAGGTCTTGGTTGGATGACAACTATCATTCAATCTCATGTGAAGCAGCACTTTCCTCTGCTTTGGGTTTGTACATGTGTTTATAGGCTGAGCGAATGCAGGTTAGTTTGGAACAATGCAGTGTTTTCATGAAAAGAAGCACGTCTGTGAAACTGCACGTAGCAATCGTAGCCATGCATGCAGGCTCCGCCACCGCCTTCATGTCACTATACTATGTTTAAATGGGGCGGTGCAACAGGGTTCATGGGTGACTGCATGTTTTTCCACAAATAGCTCATGTTATATAAAGAAATAATATCTGAAATAGGACTGGGTTTTGCATCCTATACATTGATTTCAGTTGGGAAACATGCATAAAAGAGCTATTTTAAATTCTGTCACTCACTCTCAAGTCATATTAAACCCATAAGTTTTATATTTTCTTCAAGACACAAAAGGAGGAATTTTTATGCAGCTTTTTCCAGTGTACAGTGACCACAACTTATATTGTGCTATATTGTGTATCTTCTGTCATATGATACAAATACATAAAAAATATATAAAAAGAAAGGGACAAGATCATTTTCTTCAAAATAGCTACAAAAAGTGAAAAATATAAACAATATGAAAAAAGTCATTTCAAGTTCAAGTTTCTCTTTTATTTTCTTTTTTAATTTAATGAGGTTCTTCCCTCTGATCCACATATTCAATACAAATATGTCTTTTTTTTATTAGATTATACACAGTCCTGCATCTTGGAAAAATGCCTGCTGATTTGCAAAAAAAGGCCTAATATGTTAAAAAATATCAATAAAAATATTCACACAGTTTCTTTACAAAATAAGAATGAAGAATTTTCAAATTATATACAAATCATGTTTAATGCATTTATCAAAATAACAGAAGCAGTCAAATGTGGTGAAAAATTCAAAATGTATCATTTAATTTATAATCCACAAAGGAATGGGAAAAAATATGTTCAAATAATAACACGTTTATAAATAAATTGCATCTGGCTCATATTTGCATTTTCTTTTGTGACTGGCCATAATTAACCTTGAAATCAGGATTATTAGGCATGAAATAATGTCAAACATTTGAAAATGGGCTGAGAATTGAACAAATAGTAACCGGTCTCAGAGGAAGATATGGAATCATGTCTTTGTGGCAGTTTTTCTGGTGATAATACAAAACTTCTTCACCTTACAAATGGTTGTCGAAAGCAAAAATGCTGCGAATCATATTTTGTGAGAAAGCGATTTTTGTAACTAGCACCCCAAAATTATTTAGAAACAATTATTGGATTTCATTCCACAAACATGACGCATGGGCGGTGTTATGAGTAAATAGTTTATGGGTGAACTACTCCTCAAAATGATACTCTTGCTTGTCTGCAAAAAAATAAAAATTCACAGAACATTCCTGGTTAGGAAAAGAAATCTTTCTGAGAACTGGCTGATTCAAATCACTCATGTTTAGAAATGGATTTTAATCATGCTTTTAAAAATGCTGTTGCTGAAGGTGCTCTCTGATCATGAAACATAGAGACAAGATTGTAGCAATGATACTGAGCTAAATCATAAATATAAGCAAAAGAAAAATAAATATAGCCTAAGTAAAATCGATGGTAAAAGTAAAATTGGCATTGGCAAAATTTCTAATTATCTTTGCATTAAAAAATTTGCATAACTGTTGCTGTACATAAGTCTGATCAAGCAGAGGATTTTTCAGTACAGATCATGGAAAGATCATTTACTGTACATAAAAGAGCTTGTATATGTGCAACGATTTGTTTCATATTCAACCGGTCTGGGAGGCCAGGGTCATCAGGGAGAGGCATTTTTCACTGCTAAGGTTTTGGTCATCAGGATTTCAAAGGTAGGTGCCACAAAAATAGTCCATTTGAGATAGACAAGTACGGTAAGTGCAAAGTTGATTCAGGTCCTTTAAAGGCAAAGCTGCAAATCTTTTCATCCAAGCTCTTGGCAATCCTGTTGTCATCCATGCTCCTAATATAAGATTGAGGGTGTGGGATGCACAGCAGTGTTGCAGAGGGAGAACCTACCTGGTATCCATGTTGCATTGAATATGTTCCAAAAGGTGAACTCATCCCCACAGTCCTCCTTGGCTTCAGCTTAAAACATTATAAATGTTACAACGTTACAAGGTGACATTGTCTGTGGTTTCATTTTCACAAAGGTGAATGAGATTTAGAGCTGTTTAGTTTCTATGCATGCCATGATTTAATATGCATTTCTTCCACTATTCACTGTAAAAACACAGCATAGTTTGAATATCAATTAGGACAAAGATCAGAAACAATATTTGATTTATTTTGATATTTGACAGTTTATCTGTAGGGGAGACCTGGGGCAATTATAAAAAATGTTTACATTTTCCTTCCTAACTCACAGACTACTTAATAATAATAATAATTTAAAATTTTAGGTGCATTTCAAGACACTCAAGGACACCCTACATCATAAAAAGGCAATACAATACAAAACAATACAAAATACAAAGCTATACAAAACACACAGACATACAAATCAAACAATCAAATCAGTAAAAGCTATTCTAATCAGAAGAGGGAAATAGAATCCAGCTGGTGAATGTGCAGTGGCAAAGAATTCCATAAATTTGGCGCTGCACAACTAAAAGCCCTACTAGCAAATGTGATGGACGGAGTCAGGCAATGAAAAAATGCAATATGTGAAATATTATTAATTTGGGAACCAAGACTTTTCACCTGGGTGGAAGTATTAACCGGGGAGTTTTCGATAAGCAGGGTGAAAGGTTGAATTTTGGATAAAACAGATCTAGACACGATAAGAAGGCCCTCAGTTATGCTGGTATTTAGCTTTAAAAAAGTTATTAGTCATTCCTATGTTAAAATCCTGCAAACATTTAGTGAGTTCAGTAGGAGGATGGAAAACGTTAGGTTTTGTGGATATATACAATTGTGTATCATCAGCGTAAAAATGGAAGTTAATGCCATACGTGCAAAGAACGTGCAAAGTGCAAGGGGTCACTTGAAATATATTAGTCATCTTCTGATACAAGAAACAAATAGGTGCACTAATAAATAATACAACTGATATATTTTCACTAATAAGGATAAGACCATAATATTAAATTAAATGTAAGAAGTCTAAGAGTGTTACAATTGCCCTCTTGGTGGGGGCGATTGTAACAGTGTTTGTGGGCAATTGCAACTAAGTCATATTAACCCACTGTATTTTAAATAAAAGCCTACCTCAAAGTAATCACTTTACTGCTGTAGTATCTAATAAAGTTACTTAAGATTTATTTATTTTTTTTTTGGAAATGGTTCAAATTCTTTTGGATGTCAGGTATCATATGCATTCAAAAAGCAAAAGTCTGTTTCTATTTTTGCAGAGGACTATAGGCAACTATTCTAGTGGTAACTAGATTTTATGTTTATGTTAACTCTTTTATCAATAACCTATAGACATAAAATGTAAGTGAGTTTAAATTTGCAGTCATCTAAACATTAGACAGCGGAAGAAAAGTACTGTACATTCAAAAAGTAACTTTCATACCTCAAAATCAGTATTTTGTTAAAAACCTCTGCCGAGGTGAAATGATTGTGCTCCTTATTTACAGGCAGAGACAGAATCCTACTGAGCATGTTTCTGATTGGAGGAATTGAGTGTATTACAATTGCCCCCGGTATCCTCTAATATAATTTTGTGTACCCAGCCTAATTTTAGAAGGCCATCTTAAAGAAGGATATTACACACACACACACACACACACACACACACTCTGTGGCCACCTTATTATGCATGTTAATTCAGTATCTAGTTGGCAATGTGACAGCAACTCAGTGCATAAAAGTGTGCAAACATGGTCAAGATGTTCGGGTGTCAGATCAAACAGCGGAATGTGAAAGAAACGGTGTTAAACCATGGAATGTTTGTTGGTGCCAGACGGGCTTGCTTTGAGTATCTCAGAACCTGCTGATCTCCTGAGATTTTCATGCATCACAGTGTCTAGTGTTTACAGAACATAGTGCAAAGAAAGGTTGATGGCAGTTTTGTGGGCATGAAGGTCAGTGGAGAATGACCAGCATCTCACAGCAACTGAAAGTGCACAACATTACAACAAAGCATAGATGGAAATGGATGGGCTACAGCAGCAAAGAACTAAGAGACTATAGTGGAAATATGCATAAGAAAACTAGAAAGTTCAAAATCGTGAAAATATTGCATGGTCTGACCAAGGGGTCAAAGTTTCAACAGTTAGCATTACCCATGAGACGCCTGCTGGTAGATGCTGTAACACTATCTGGACGCAAAAGCATCTTTCCCCATTTAAGTATATTAGTAAACCTTATTTATATAGGACCATTTTTCAAAACTCATGTTTGCTTTAGAACAATCATGCCCTTTCATGCATGGTGTCCATTACAGTGTACAGATATTTGGAAGCTATTTTGAACCATTTAGGTTGTAGTAGTACCATGTCCAAACCACCAAGTGGTGAACCGTCCAAGTGGTGCTGGCTATGATTCCATTTAATTATTGCCTTTGTATCTATTTTTTGTTTTGAGATATTGCATCATATTTAAAAAGGCAACGGGAAGAGGAGATGCACCAAGTACCTCAAGAATAAGTATTAAATCCTTTTATTCTTAAAAAAACCAGACAGGTAAATATATCTGTCCACTCCAGTGGATATTATGCACCAAAGGGTATATTATGCCTATTGGGCCTAGAATCTGCCTTATTTTGTATGTTTTATCAAAATTATGATATAATTTAAACTGGAATAGTTTTATTAAACAGCAATACTTTATTTAAGTGGAGTGTCATTAAGTGAATGTCTATGCAAAGATGCTCAAAGCCAATCAGAGCAGCTGAAACAGATATCATAGTTCAAGGTTGATCAGATATTTGTGTTTATATAGACTAGAGAGAAGCACACCAAAGCACTGAGCTCCACAGCAGTGAAGGCCACATATCTGCTCCAGTACAGTAAGTTTTCCAAACTTTAACCAACCACTAACATTTCTTTGACAGTTAGACAGGGTTTTTGGTCTTATTGTTTTGGTATATGCATACATGATTGTGCTCGAGATTTTTTATGCAACTGTACTGTAAATTACAGATTATTTAAATGCATGACATGTAGCTAGTTTTTGAGGTTAACTTAGTTGTAAATTTTCTGCAAGTCTGTTCTGGATTATGTTTTTGTCGTTGTAAAGTGGTGTATATTAACAGTGCGCATGCAGAGAGAAATTGTGACTCTGTTAATGAGGGATTTTAATAAACTTTGTATCTTTGCCTCATCAGTTTTTTCATCATTGTCTAGCTTTAATCTGCAATTTTACATATGCACCATGATAAAGTGTGTTTCTTATTGGTGGCGCCTCTTTATAAAGACAATATTCAAAGTACAAAGTATACAGTAGATGCTACCTAAAGAACATGGTACCATGTTTCAGGATTGTAAAAATCGAAGATTGCATACAATTTTTTTTTTTTGAGAGTGTAATTTTAATATTATATATAAGCAATTTTTGATGCAATCTTCCACTTTTACAATCCTGAAACATGGTGTATATATATATATATATATATATATATATATATATATATATATACATACATACAGGTGCATCTCAATAAATTAGATCTTATGAAGTATTCTAATTTGTTGAGATAGTGAATTGGTGGGGTTTTGTTAAATGTGAGCCAAAATCATCACAATTAAAAGAACCAAAGACTTAAACTACTTCAGTCTGTGTGCATTGAATTTATTTAATACACAAGTTTCACAATTTGAGTTGAATTACTGAAATAAATGAACTTTTCCACGACATTCTAATTTATTGAGATGCACCTGTACATGCATACATACATACATACACACCATCTGATACCATGGTACCAACACTGTACTTTTTCTAACAGTTCATTTATCCACCACATTTTAAATAGTAATGTTTTAACTTCTTCTCAGTATTAAACATCATTCTTTGTTTTTGCAAAGGGTTTTGAGCGTAAGCTTTAACAGAAGCTGTATTGTAGGCCTATATGGTTGGGTTATCAAGGCGGAACCTTCAGCATCAAGCACTGGAGCGATACGGACTGTTTTTGCAGACGCACCGCTGCGCTCAGGAGAGTTTGAACAGGTAAAAGCTGCTATTTTATAAGAATGTTGCTGATTTATGCTTTTGTTTTATGTTTTTGGTGATGGGGCCTGCTCTGATGCTGTTAGAAAGCTGTTTTTATCCCCCGCTACATGTACGTATATATGCAGAACGCATAACGTTAGTTCTGTAAATACCTTGACAGCTGATTAATATCTAACTAATATCACTGCTGCGGTTTACAATGTTTTCTGAACTTTGAAACTTATCTTTAAGGGGATTTGAGAGCTTGTACCAGAATATTTATGTACTTTGCTGGTTTTCTTGCTGATCGTGTGAAAGTAAAGTGACACTTACCTTGGGCAATTTTAATCATGTATTTCCAATTTATATTCATATTCATTCATATTCCAAAATATGGGCATATTTTAGGTATACAATGCCTTGAAAACCCTATGACAGTGTTGTAATCTACAAAAAATATTTCTGTGAAAGGGCACTCGACAAGCTCAGACACCTAAACGTTGTTCAATGTAACTTGATAAACAGGATCGATAAAAGTTTATTAAAAAATAAAATTAAAGCTTACATGAGGGTGTAAACTTGTTCATTTTGTCATTTTTAAACAATCTTATTATAATATTTTTTTGCAATTGTATCAAGCAGGATGGAATGTTTTAGAGTGAAATAAATCAGCTAATAACACAGAACATCACAGAATCCATCCATTGCCAATTACTGGTTTGTTTTCCCTCCAAAATTATGCCACTTCCTGTTGGATGATGAACACTTGGATTTCTTTTCTTTTCTTTTTTTTTAGGCAGTAATAGGCAGTTTTTCATGTTGGCACTCAAAAATCCACTCAAATCAAAGTATGTTGTGTGTTTTTTTTTTTCACAGTTTAATATATATATATATATATATACACAGTATATACACACATTAATATTCAAATGACAAAAGACTAAATAATGTTTCTATCTTTTGCTGTAGTGTGTCCGTAGGAAATATCAGTTTACATTTCCAAACATTCATTTTGCCATCAATTGTAACAATCCAGTGAGCTTTTTGTTGACAACGTCTCCAAGATGCTTCAAGAGACCTAACTGTAAAGCTCCCTGAAAAACTATGCACCTAGGGCAAAAGCTGCTTTAAACGCAAAGGATGGTCACACCAAATGTTGATTTAATTTAGTTAATAGAAGTGAAATGATAAAGAATATCTATTTGTGACATTATTTTTGACAGCACCCTCATTTTACAGCATTTTCACACAAGTGCTTCAAACTTTTAACAATACTGTAGCTTTGCAGGTAGGTTTCTTGAAGCATCTTGGAGACGTCGCCACAGTTCTTCTGGATTGAGTCTGTCTCAGTTTGTTCTGTTTCTTCATGTCAATCCAGACCGACTGGATGATGGTGAAGATCAGATCTCTGGCTGTTGTCAGACTCCTTGTACAAACAAAAATCTCGCTGGATTATAACAATTAACGGCAAAATGAATGTTGCTACTGACACACTACAGCAAAAGATAGAAATAACTGACTTAAAACCATTTTTTAGCTGGTGAAAATACTAGTGTTCTAATCATTTTGGCCACCGCTGTATATACATAATTTTATAATATCAATGTTTAATTTGGAATAATATTTATAGTAAATATAGTTTTATTATAAATAGTTTAAAAATTGATATAGTTTTGCTTGTGAGAATATAATGATATATTAATGTTGAGACTACTACATTATTTGTTCCTCTCTTTACACTATTAAAATGTAATTTTACAGTGCAGGGCAATTTAATTGAACTGCACAAAGGCTAAATTACGGTATAATTATTATCCTATTATTTTAAATCTAAAGTTTTGATTTATCTAGACATGTAAGGTTCTTGATGTGGATGGAGTGTGTTGGCTTAAAAATTAGCATACCCATTTTAATCATTTTATTCATAAAAGTGTTTAATCGGTGTGTTCTTTCTCTCTTGTCTCTGCAGTTTAGGATGGCTCAAGCAGACAGCAGGGCTCTGGCTTTGGGAGTTCTGGCAGGGGCTGCTGGGATCAGCTTGGCGATTGTCTGCTTCCGCAAAATAGGGGCAGGCGGTGGCAGAGTCCTACACCTGAGCAGCAATGCAGATCACACGGCAGGCAGTCTGGGTCTGCAGACGGGCAAGGCGGAGGTGCTGGATCAGCTGGGTGCTCTGATCCATTGTGTGTCTGAGCTCAAAGAGGAGGTAAAAGCCTTGAAGGATGCACTTCCACACTTGCAGGAAAATGTCAGAGATCAGCTGAGGGGCCGGAGCGGGGGCGATATCAGTGCTCGCAAAGCAAGTCTACTTCATCGAACTCCCACTAGGAGAAAAAGAGCAGGTGTCTCAGCTAGAAGTGAAGGACAAAGCTCAGAAGAGGCAGAGAGTGAAGGAGGGTGAGTTTACTGAGATGCCAACTTGGCAGGTGTTTCTTTTTTAATTTATAGAAAGGCAGAAAATGCTTCTTTCTGACAGATATTGCTTAATTATATGTCACAAAATATCATATTTGTTTCTGTGACAGCCTGAGACAGCTAGCTAGATTCTTTGTTTAGCTAATACACCTCCTGCCTATCAATCATTTTGAACATACATTATTTGGAAGCAGAATGAAGTGGAGAGCATAGAAAGCATAGAAAAATCCACTTTCTGGATTTTTTTCTTTTTTTTAAAGAAGTCTCTTATGCTCACCAAGGCTGTATGTACTTGATCAAAAATAAAGTAAAAACAGTAATACTTTGAAATATTACTGTTGCATTTGAATATATTTTAAAATTTAATACAGGTGCATCTCAATAAATTATAATGTCATAGAAAAGTTAATTTATTTCAGTAATTCAACTCAAATTGTGAAACTTGTGTATTAAATAAATTCAATGCACACAGACTGAAGTAGTTTAAGTCTTTGGTTCTTTTATTTGTGATGATTTTGGTTCAACTGTGCCCTCAACTAGTGTTATAGAAACTAAATTTATTTAGGTATTTTGTTTTTGACATCCCTACTCTGTGTAAATGTAACATAATTTAGAGTTTTAGAAGGATTAGAAGAGTGTGCATAGCTGAGGTGTGATTCAGTGAGAGAGCCGAGAGCGTTCCAAATCATGTGTCGTCTGAACTCTACTGCCTCCAGTCATTCATTTGAACATCTGTTCACTAAATTCAGCACGAATCACTTTACATGTCCATTCCAGTCTCACTAAATTCTCCTTCCAAAACCATTCAGAAATAATCTGCTTTGTTTTCCATAGCTTTAAAATTTAGTTCTTGTTATTTCTGAGACACTATGTTCTTCAGCACCTTAAATGTCCAAAATGATTTGTTATTTTAAGCCACTTGGTTTGTGCATCTTTGCCTCCAAATTCTCCAAGTGTAAAAATAAAGGAAACACTTGAGGTGTTCAGTTGTTTTTGTATGTCTGTTTGGAGCGTTTCTAGACCATGACTGGCTTTTGTGTTGCTCGGTTTTCATGGTTTTACTTTGAGCAGGCAGAATGTGTTTTAACACTACAATCTAGCGCAGGATGTTGATTTGAGAGTGTGTGTAGTTTGGTCCTGGAGCCGCTTGGGTTTCAAAGGACCGTTCATCTGTCAAAACAGTTTCCTCCTTTCTGTCTCTCTTTAAAGCACCGGCTAATCAATCTGAAAGAGTGACTGCTGAGTTATCACAGTCTAATTTTGACTGTCTCATGTAGGAACTTGTAATTTCTGTCACCGTTCCTACATTGCTTGAGTGCAATCACGTCACAGCTTGCCTTAGTTGCTAAAGAATGTTAATACTTGAACATTTGAAATGATACCATTTATTATGTTTGATTGCTGTAGATTTAGAAAAAAGTTATTGTTTACATAGAGGCAGACAGGTCATAGCACAGATGCGTAAGGACGGAAATGTCCTATGAGTCTAAGGATGCAAAAAATACAGTAAAAACAGCAATACTGAGCTTTTTTACAATTATATAAATTTTTGCAGTTTAAAATAATTGTTTTCCATTGTAAAATATTTAAACATGTAATTTATTCATGTGATGCAAAGCTGAATTTTCACTTACATAGAGGCAGACAGGTCATAGCACAGATGCGTAAGGACGGAAATGTCCTATGAGTCTATTAAGGATGCAAAAAATACAGTAAAAACAGCAATACTGAGCTTTTTTACAATTATATAAATTTTTGCAGTTTAAAATAATTGTTTTCCATTGTAAAATATTTAAACATGTAATTTATTCATGTGATGCAAAGCTGAATTTTCAGCATCATTATTTCAGTCTTCAGAAATCATTCTAATATGATTTGCTGCTCAAGAAACAATTCTGATTATTGTCAATGTTGAAAACAGTTGTATTGCTTAATACTTTTCTGGAATCCATGATACATTTAGTTCAAGATTCTTTGATGAATAGAAAGTAAAAAAAAACAACAACAGCAATGTCTTGGCACTTTTGATTAATTTAATGTATTCTTGCTGAATAAAAGTATACATTTCTTTCAAAATAAATTCTTACTGACCCCAACTTGTAGGTTTTGGGGTTAGTACCATTCCGAGAAGGGTCTGGCTGCAGCCTCGCACTTGCCCTCTCAGACGTGCATTCTCAGACACCTGCGCTTCCACTAGCGACGTCACTTGCAGGCTTTATTTTTTATTTTGTTCTATTTTCTTTATTACTTTATGTTTGAATCTCTCAACATTTTACAACAGTAGCCAGGTGGTGAAGACAAGAAAAAAGAAACTAAATTACAATGTCACTTGCAATCGCCACTTGCACTCTCCGATACCTGCGACGTCACTTGCAATCGACACAAATTGTGCATGTTGCCAATGGAGACAAGAAGCTGTGGTGGTGATTAAACGATTACAACTAATTTAGTACCGTAGCCTACAGGATCCTGCAAGAAAAAGACTAGACCCGCAAATCCGTGGCCACAGAACAGCAGAATATGAACGCAATGCACAAAGTCTCTCGTTAAGCGTTTTCCACCTGTAGAAAAACATAAAATAGAACAAAAGAAAAAAAATAAAAGGCCGCAAGTGACGTCGCTAGTGGAAGCGCAAGTGTCTGAGAATGCACGTCTGAGAGTGCAAGTGCAAGGCTGCAGCTAGACCCTCTTGACCATTCCAGAGGAATAAAGAAAGGTCTTTGTGTCCAAACTCCAGGGGCTGTGTCTGATGAAGTCATCTGAATGTGTGCATAGCCAGTTACTGTTGGGATGGTAACCGTGTTCCACCTGAACAGCTCTCCTTTTCAAAGTGTTTGCACTTTTGTTATGCATATGAAAGGCTTGAGAGTTTTATTCAGTTCTGTTTGGGCATTGGAGGTGTATTAACCATAACAAGAACACAAACCTTCATTCTTTCACTGTAGGGTCTATAAAAACCATTTTTAAAGGCCTAGTGCAATTTTGTGCACACTAACACACTGCAGTGTCAGATTTATTTATTTTTCTTTTTAAGGGGTAGTAATATGTGCCCCTGGAGAATTTTTGGAACATTTATTACTTTTTATAATGGATTTTTATAACTGTAAATATTGTATGTTCCGCTAATCAGATAATTTTTGAAAAATCTCAATCAAATTCTCTCTTCATTGATTAAACAAAATTTGACTCAAATATCACATTATTTAATCAGCTTCAGTTCACGACAGCGTCTTCTTGTGAATAGAATATAAGGATTGAAGGATTTCATTTTCTCACATTTCACAAAATAAGAAAATAATTATAAGAAATATGAGATTTTTTTCATCCAAAAGTTTTGACTAGTCACCACCCCCTCAGAGAAAACATACCTGATTCATTATAATATGTGACAAGATGTACAGTAGTCAAATAGTAGACAGGTGCAGTTCACGCTGGAATGAGAATAGAAATGAGCTTCAGTGCTTGAATGTGCTGATTTATCTTATGATCAGCAATGTTCATTTGCACCTCCACTGAGAGAACATGCTCAGCAGACAGAAAGAAAGAATTTAGCTGATGAATGAGCGGATCATTAAATGAATGTATGAATGAAAGCATGCAGAAAGGGACCCCCCCCCCCCCTTAAATGTTTTGAATTGTTCTATTTTTTTTATTACTTTTTGTTTGAATCTCTCAACATTTTACAACAGTAGCCAGGTGGTGAAGACAAGAAAAAAGAAACTAAATTACAATGTCACTTGCAATCGCCACTTGCACTCTCCGATACCTGCGACGTCACTTGCAATCGACACAAATTGTGCATGTTGCCAATGGAGACAAGAAGCTGTGGTGGTGATTAAACGATTACAACTAATTTAGTACCGTAGCCTACAGGATCCTGCAAGAAAAAGACTAGACCCGCAAATCCGTGGCCACAGAACAGCAGAATATGAACGCAATGCACAAAGTCTCTCGTTAAGCGTTTTCCACCTGTAGAAAAACATAAAATAGAACAAAAGAAAAAAAATAAAAGGCCGCAAGTGACGTCGCTAGTGGAAGCGCAAGTGTCTGAGAATGCACGTCTGAGAGTGCAAGTGCAAGGCTGCAGCTAGACCCTCTTGACCATTCCAGAGGAATAAAGAAAGGTCTTTGTGTCCAAACTCCAGGGGCTGTGTCTGATGAAGTCATCTGAATGTGTGCATAGCCAGTTACTGTTGGGATGGTAACCGTGTTCCACCTGAACAGCTCTCCTTTTCAAAGTGTTTGCACTTTTGTTATGCATATGAAAGGCTTGAGAGTTTTATTCAGTTCTGTTTGGGCATTGGAGGTGTATTAACCATAACAAGAACACAAACCTTCATTCTTTCACTGTAGGGTCTATAAAAACCATTTTTAAAGGCCTAGTGCAATTTTGTGCACACTAACACACTGCAGTGTCAGATTTATTTATTTTTCTTTTTAAGGGGTAATATGTGCCCCTGGAGAATTTTTGGAACATTTATTACTTTTTATAATGGATTTTTATAACTGTAAATATTGTATGTTCCGCTAATCAGATAATTTTTGAAAAATCTCAATCAAATTCTCTCTTCATTGATTAAACAAAATTTGACTCAAATATCACATTATTTAATCAGCTTCAGTTCACGACAGCGTCTTCTTGTGAATAGAATATAAGGATTGAAGGATTTCATTTTCTCACATTTCAAGCATTTTTACCACTTTCATTGGCCTTTTTCAGAGAATAAATATTGCATGAGATTGTTACATTTTTATTAAAGAATAAATGTAACAATTTTGATATATGCTTAAAATTTCAGATATATGCTTAAACAAGAATAGACAATTTTCCAGCTTTTGTAATTCAAGATAATTAATTAATTCAAGATCTCATTTGTAATAATAATAATATAAACATCTATATTTTAATTGGGGGGGGGGGGGGATTTCATTTTCTCACATTTCACAAAATAAGAAAATAATTATAAGAAATATGAGATTTTTTTCATCCAAAAGTTTTGACTAGTCACCACCCCCTCAGAGAAAACATACCTGATTCATTATAATATGTGACAAGATGTACAGTAGTCAAATAGTAGACAGGTGCAGTTCACGCTGGAATGAGAATAGAAATGAGCTTCAGTGCTTGAATGTGCTGATTTATCTTATGATCAGCAATGTTCATTTGCACCTCCACTGAGAGAACATGCTCAGCAGACAGAAAGAAAGAATTTAGCTGATGAATGAGCGGATCATTAAATGAATGTATGAATGAAAGCATGCAGAAAGGGACCCCCCCCCCCCCATTAAATTTTTTAACAGATGGAAAAGA